TCTCCGTTCTCTCATTGCTGAAAAATCTTGTCAATCATTTGTCATTTCATTTACTGACAGCCTTATTACCCATAACGTTGTTAGGCATATGCACCATGAGAATGAAAAAAAAAAAAAACATCGACACTGAATTACAAATTATAAATAAAAAACAATTTCTCTACAACTACAACGAAGGAAGCGTAATTAACAATTCAATTTCACTGGGTAATTGAATATTTCTCATTTTCGTTATTCTTCAGTGACTAGGACGAGAACATTTGCTTTTTCCATATATCTGTTACACTATCTGAATCTCCATTGCTCCCACGAATATCTCTCGTTAAATATTGGAATTTTTTTTCTATAAAGCAAATATCCTGGACCTAATAATCCAAATTCAATGTTCTCCATTGTTATGGTACTTTTTTTTAGAAAATTGTTTCTCATTTCGGCTTGTTCTCTTCGTCAATGAACTCTGAATGAGTAATAGATGGTGATTTGAAGCGATATCACGCACAATAATACTATATATCGAAGCAACAGAGGATTACACGAACAATAAATCTTTTTTTGCGTACATCGTTATGTATATGTGAAATAGAAACATCGATGACAAGATGACGAGACAAAGATTATAGAGAGTTGATAAATGGCAGTTGCATTTTGAAGGGAATTGGAGGGTGAGATATTTTATTTAGTCTCTTGTTTCCGGTTTATTAGGCCCCAGCGAAACCGTAAACCTCCAATACCCTAATCTCGAAATCACCACTGGCGCAAAGTGGTGGATTGTTGAAGGTTGAACAACGATCTGTCTTGCCAAAGCGGATGTTCTCGTCCATCCAAATCGCTTGGCCGTCTCTGAAATCATCCAGGAAATGAAAAAATTTATTTCATAGAATATGCTAAATTCATATGAGTATCTTTTCGTCATCATTACACGAAAATACCTGCTACTAAGAGAGCAAGTCAGCGCTCAATGACTAGATTTTCTCAATCTTGATGTACGAAGAAAAAAATTATTAGTCGAGGGTACCAAATATATTTATAAATTGACCGACGGTAGTGGCCGTGCGGTTAGAGTGCTGGACTAGCTAAAAAGTGTGTTTTTTGAAATATAAACACTATTTCTCTTTTAACACTTAGTTTAGTTTAACAAACATTAATATAATTACCATTATACAATACAATTATCCACCAATATTGTTAATCAACATACACCAAATATTTGAAAATCATGAGAGCTAATCGCAAGCCATATGATGTACAATTTACCCAGTAAAAATATTGTATCAGTTCTTTCTAAAACATTGTTTATTACTGTAAATAGAATGTAT